TCTGTTGTAGTAACACAGCACAAGTTACCAAGAAATGGAAATATATTAATCATGGATGTGCACTGTTGATTTCCAAAGAATTTTATTTTACTGTGTCTTTTCACATAGTGATCACTTGTGAGTTTTGAAGAAACAACCATATCTTTGTATACATGTGCATAGTTATATTCAGCTATAGGTTTGTTGATCTTTAGAGCTCCATTAAGGGTTCTTCTGAAACAAATAAGGAGAACTGTCAATGTATAAAATAACAAGCAAATAAACATAATGTATACTGAAGTTCATTGAGGAAGCAATGTATATGTGAGTTATACTTCCACTTTTCTTTTTTTATTATATGTAAAAGAGCCTCATCTTATTTCACTGTGAGATGTGTGCTCCAAATGCTAAAATAAGTCAATGAACCAAAAAATCATTGATTAAGGTAATGGCCATAGCATTTATTGTTATAAATAGTTACAGGCTATTATCTAAAGACTTTCTTAAGCCAATGACTTCTTGTTGAATAGTAGGATTTTAAATTATTTTTTTCCATTGAAGATTGTCACACTTTATATTCCACAATGCCCTTTGACAACCACATTAGTTTCAAAATCATATTATCTTCTGGCATTTAGAATTGTTTTTCATTAGCCTGTCCATTATTCAAACTCTGGCCACTGAAATTTGCTATACATATACTATGTAGGGATATGCAACATGAGCATTTAGGTGGCGTCTTGTGTCTCACTGCTACTTTAGTCCTTTCCAGTCATTACAGTCTTGGTGTTTCTACCTCACATACTGGGAAAACATACTACATGAGGTTTTCTCTACATGCGTCATCACCATTTTGTGTGAATTGATCATGAAACATTACTTTCCAGCATCAGTACATGTTAGGAGGAGGAGGAGGAGGAGGAGGAGGAGATTGGATTTTACCCCACCCTTTACTCAGAGTCTCAGAGCGGCTTACAAACTCCTTTCCCTTCCCCTCCCCACAACAGACACCCTGTGAGGTAGGTGGGGCTGAGAGAGCTCTTGACAGAAACTGCCCTTTCAAGAACAGCTCTGACAGAACTACGGCTTGCCCAAGGTCATCCAGCCAGGTGCAAGTGGAGGAGTGGGGAATCAAACCCGGTTCTCCCAGATTAGAGTCTGCACACTTAACCACTACACCAAACAGTCAAATTGCACTGAGTTATTATCAATATTGGGGAATATGAGATATTATAAAATAGCAATAGGCAATAAGGGAACAAACACCTTTATATACAGCAGTCCAGCTTCTTCCAGAAGCAACAGAAATAGACACAGAGGCTGGTTTCAATATAAAATTATTCCTTTACTGGAGATTCATCACAAGCAAACAATACACAAGCACACAAACAGTAATTAAACATTCACGCACACAATACAGGCTTAAGAAAGCAGAGGTGATTGGTAGCTAATGGAGGGGTTATGGGGTGTGTCCCGCGCCGGAGCCTCCACAAGTTCGGGAACCCACAGACCCCCCGGAAAGAGGTTCAGAGAGCCCAGTTGTCCCGAAAGCCCAGAAGACAGGGGGGCGGGCACGAGTGCAGGAGACCCGGGGAAGCTGGCACGTACCCAAACGCCGAGGGACCGACATAGTCCTTCAGGACAGCGTGCAGGCAACCGGGGAGTTTCAGGTTCTCCCGGAAGTGACCCTACCCCCGAAGACGCCCAGGCAACCCCACTTGGGAGGTGGGACCAGAGAGAATGACAGGGAAATTACCCATTCAGCGGATGACAGGGGAAAGGGGTGGAGTTCACC